TGCATTGCACTTAAATTCTTTTAAGATTGCAGTTAAGTTCTGGAAGCAAGTAAATGGAAGGTTGGTTTTTCAAGCAAGAAGCTGTTCAAGAAAAAATGTTGGAGTAGAATTGATGGTTAGATTTTGCTAATTAAACAGTAAAACTGTTGTGGAGTGATTTCACAGTGGAGGCTTGTATTTGTACTAAGTCGGTCCTAAAATAGGTTCGACGTACAAAATGTTAGGAACTTGATATAATAGGTATAATGCAGATAAATCTAGTTGTGGTCGCTGATAGTTTAGTTTTCAACTAACTGTCATCCACATCAACTGACTGACCGAGCAACTGAGCAACTCTTACTACTCCTACTTAGGTGGGAGAGTTTACTAACTAAAGAATAGGTGTGTTCCACTATAACATCCATGCCTAAAACTTTACTCCGTAGGAGTAAACAGTTTTTTTAAATTTATTATTCGTTTTTTACAGGAAATATGAAGAAAAAACAACAAAAACAAAAATTCATTTTTTTTTTTAAACAACATCGTAGCGTATCTCCTACGTTTTTTTGATCCACTTTTAAATGATCAGTTGCCTTTTTTTTTCTTCTGGATCGCGTACCTCAGGTAAAATTGTTGCAGGCGTTGTTAGATCAAACGTATTGAAAATCACCTCCATCGGCGTTTTTTCCGCGGGACCGCTGTCAACCACGTCTGAAAAACGTCGTCTGATCTGGTTACTGCACGTGAATTTTTCGCCTTTCACCAAGTACATCATATTGCCAATCCGCTTTTTTATTTTTTGGTACCTCCATAATGTTACCAGAAACAACCTTCCGTTTTGAGCTTCTTAAGGATGGAGTCACAGTTTCTGTAGGTTCTTGTGTTTTTATGTGTTCAGCCTCTAGCTTCTCTTCTGTAGATCTTGTTCTTCTTAACGTTTTCTGTGTTGACTTCAGTTGATTTAAATCATTCAATAATACTGCATGTCCTTGGCTGCGGGTAACTCGCTCCCCAGTGTTTTTCTCGGTGTCGGCTTCATCTTTACTTTCTGGAGCTTTTTTTTTCACGTATATCGTCAGTGTTACCCATTCAACTTTTTAAATACACCGGTTTTCTCTAATCTGTTCAATTCCAAATTGAAGCAAACAGCACATTCCTTTTTTTTGAATACCGCCTGAGCATTTTCTTTTAGCTGGAATTTTGCCTCCATCTTGGTACACATTCCCAAACCTGGAGAAAAAAGTAGGAAATGTTTCCATAAGTTTCTTTACTAATTTTTGGGCTTCTGAGTTTAAACTTTCAACCTTGTAACAGAAAGAATTTATCGAATCCTATGAAATTCTGTTATCCAATTCATACCAAGTAAGTTTGTGGTATTTTCTATGACAAATAGTTTAGCTTTTCGCGTTTTTTTTATTTAACGTGACATTTGTAACAAATTCTCCAATAAATTTTATTTTTTCTCCCATCACTGACCTCACAATATTCTTTGTCTTCATTAAAGTTGGTTTCCAACTTCTTCCACGTATGCAAATTTATGATAGATAGGTCGAACCAGTGTCGAGTTGCATTTTATTTTTTATTACTTATTTTGATGGTAACAAATTTTCTGGTTATTCCATTGTTCACCTTGTCGGACTTTAATTTTTCTTATTTTATTGTCTTTATTTTTTGACCTGCAGTGTGAGCTTTTATGCCACTCTTTTACAGTTGAAACATTTTTTATTCCTAAAATTGCAATATCTGTACCAGTGAAGTTCACTGCAAACAAAAACATGGCTTTGGGAGTTTTTGTTTATTTTCTCTGGTATTTCACTTTTTGTTTGATAATCCGCAATTTTAGAATTCTTTTGGAGAATGACTTTCTTTTTGTCGCATATTTCCCTTACACGAAACGCCAGACTGTTCTATCTTTTTTTTAATCTTTCTTTATGCTAACATATCTTGTGCAGTCTTCTGCCAACCTCTGCATTGTAATTCTTGGTTCGTTTTCCAATTTTGACAGGGCTCTTAGGGTGTCCAAGTTTCCATTATATAGTTTAATCGGATCATAGGCTAGTCTGAACAAACACTAAGCAAAATTGTCTGGTTACTGGAAATCTGAACTGCTCGAATATTTCAGGAGTTCACATTTCCTGGGACCATTATATAGTTACTGGTTTGTCAGAAGGAATTGACAGGATGTGGTTGGGATTTCTGGTAGGACAAATTAAAAACAAAATTAGAACGTTTACTAAATAATTATGGTTGTCGGCTCAATCTAGATGGATTTTTCAGTGTGCAAACGGCCAATTTGTTATGGATTGGGCGATTAAATCCTGTGATAGTGGGGCCAGAAGAAGGCAGAGTTGGCCTCCTTGCTTATCAAGATTATATCAAGTCTGTATATTTTTTATAATAGGTTAAAAAGATATCTTCTGATCTGAATATGGCTGCTGAACTGCATTCAATTGAATTTCATAGTGCATCTCGGGAAAATAATCATTTTGTAGATTTTTTCGGATAAGCGGACCATGACTACAAACATTTATGTGAAACTTTTTCGTGAGTACTTTCCGAACTTTCCATTGGGTGCCCAGTCAAAGCCCTGCTCAGGTTGACACCTATTTAGTTGAGTGGTCCCTGCCTCCGAATAGCAGCTGGGCTTCGGTGCTAGAAAGGATGGTCTTCCTTAAAAGAAGTGTACTTGAGGCAGTCGCCTGTTTTTTTCCCTTGCTGGCACTGATTTTAATAAGAAATTGAAGCAGAATTCTATACCCAAATGCTTCACCAGGGGCGTAATCAAATTGTTGTTGTAAGGATAAAACGGTGGTGATGGTTAGGACTTTTGCCCTTTAACTATATTAATTCAGAATTAAAAGATTTTTCTCTAAGGTCTTGAAGAAATTGAACTGCTTGCATGCTGTCCTCTTTAGTCTGATTGGCTCCGAGCAGACTTGTGCTGTGAAGGGCAGGACTATTCAGGACAACAATTCTTCATATGGCACGCTTGATCATCAAGCAAGTTGACAGTGAAGAAGAATCAATTTAGATCAAAGAAGACCTTCAATAGGGTTGAAAATCACTTTCTGGAGGCTGTCCTTTTATAAGCTGGTCTCGGGCCGCATTTTTATCTACATGGATCCATCTTCTGTATGTGACCACCGGTGCACTGGTGGAAGTGAATGGAGTACAATTGGAGCCTTTTGTATTGTCTTGCTCCATGTGTCAAGGTTGTCCGCTTTCGCCTTTGCTTTACGTTGTCATTGGAACCTTTCCTTCACCAGTTAAAGATGGATCTGGTCCTACACGGAATTTTCCTACCTGGTGCTACCACCTCGCCCAGTTATTCTGCCTATGCTGATGACATTTCAGTTCTTGTGTTGAGCAGGGCTGAGATTGACGAAGTCAGCAAAGAAATCAGTGGTTATGAGATGGTGACCTTTCCTCTGGACGGATGGGCCGATCAAGATTCTCAGCGTCTGGTTCAGTCCTGATCTCCAGTTAAATGCTGGTGTTGTCTAGAGTACAGTTAAACTTTTCAATTTCTTCTGCACTTTGTGTTGTCAGTGTACATATAACTATGATGGATGTTAAATGGCTTCCCTTTTTAACTACAAGAATTCTATCAGATAATTGATAGTATCCAGGAATTATTTCTTCAGGTCTTGTTTTGTTCCTAGCTTCAGCATTCTTAGCTAAAAGCTTAACACACTTTCAACAATAATCATTAACACATTGGCAGTTGACCGAGAGAAGCAAAAGCCATACTATTTGTCTGATAGAAGAACCTGCAAGGTGAGATGCTTAACCAAATCTGAATTGATTAGAGTCTCTGGTATTTTGCCAAAAAGAAGCAGAAGACTAATAGGTTAATAATTTAAAGGGATCAAATAGTTCACTTAAATTCTCAAAAACAGGAACTACAGAAGAGGATTTCCAGCAAACTGGAAAGCAAGAAGCAGCAAGGCATTTATTGTAAAGCTTAGAAAGAACAAGAGTTAGTTCAAGAGCATATTTTTTTTTAAAACAATTGCAGCAATACCACTGAGTTCACATGCTTTGTGGGGATCAAGTTTAGAGATGATAGCAGAAAAAATGTACAGAGTTATATATTTACTTGGATTCTTATCTAAATTTAAATCAACCTTATCATTACCAAAAAGTCAAAATAAAATCTCATAACCTAAATCTAATAAACTTTATTTCAAATAACAGGGATGAAAATGCTTTAGAAGCTGTGATGATTTTGGCATTGCCAATTCGTAGTTTGCATCTTGGACTGTTCTTCTCACTGACAACCATACATTCTGTCTTACAATAGTGAGTCCCTTTTTTGCTTTCCTTTACTATCTTGTCTAGGAGTTCCTGCATTTTCTTTTTTGGACGTGGTCTGGGGGTGGTGGCAGAGGGACAAAACTTATTGAAAGTTACAAGGGATAGGAGGAAGTGGACACAACACAAAAAGAAAGAAGACTGTAATCAACACAGTATCATCTGCATCTTTTATGTTGTTAAGATTGTCCACCCATAATAAATCTTGGTAAGTCTTCTAGTTCTCTTAGAATTGCCTCGCTTTGTAAACCCAGAGAGAAGAGACATGTTTGTCTTATGCCCCTTTATATTTTCCCAAATAAATCAAGTTTTTCTAGCAGTTCAAATACCATGTATAGAGCATGTGAGCAATGAGAAAATTTTAAGAAAAATGGAAACAAAAACACATTCTTAGAATCAGAAATAGAGTTGAAATTTTTGGGACACATATAGTGAGGAAACTTATACATATTGAAGGCAGAAGGAAAAAGCAACTAAACTACATAACTATATGTAAATAGATGTCAGGTCAGGAAGAGGGAAGGATAGTAAAAAAAGCAAACATTACTAAGATCGACAAAGGACAGGAAATTGTGAAGTAATTATGAGGTCCAATAACTCCTTCTTTTAGACTCTACATATTAATATTTATTATAATCATTATTATTATAAACATTATAATCACATTTAAAACTATATCTAAAGAAAAGGTTTATAAAAAGTCTTACCTCGATTACCACATGCCATCCACCTGATTGCAGAAGTGGGGTTTGCTGTTGGTCCTACAGCATATGTAAACACTCGAACCTATAATGGTTTTTAATGCAAAACAGAAATGAATTATAAAATCAACTGGCTATATTTTGGAGATGAGGTATTGTAATCATTTACATTATTTACATTGTTCAGGCTGTTGTCCACATTTTTCTTGCCATATTCACATTTTGGCCATTGTATGCTCTGGCCTTCTTCAGGTGATTGGAATTTCAAGCTGAGCTCTTTATTTTGCCCACTGGGGTAGATTGCTCTAGTTCCATGTGCCATTCCTCTTCTGGATGTCTTAGTATCAGTTATCTCCCTTTAACTCTCCAAGTTTTTCTTCTTGTTTACTTCAGCTGTAGTCAGGTATTGAACTCACAACTCTCAACCAATGCTTGTATCCACTTGGTCATGTGTCCATGAGGACATCAGTGTATGAATTTTGGGGTAATCATTTTTACCAGATTTTATATTGAAATTTTGTTGTTTTTCTCTATCATTCCATATTACTAGTTCCCATATTGTATTCATTTCTATGCTTGGCCGGCTTAGGAGATTTTTGTGGTCTAGCATGGAGAGAGTTGAATTAAAGGGAGATAACTGATACTGAGACATCTGAAAGAGTCATTGCTTGTGGAACTAGAACAATCTACCCAAAAAGGGTTCAGTTTGAAATTCCAATCACCTGAAGAAGATTGGTGCATGCAACAGTAAAAAAAATCATGGATATGGCAGGAAAGATGAGGACAACAGTCTGAACAATGTAAATAGTGTAAATAATTACAATACCTCATCTCAGAAATATAGACAGAAAAGAAAGATATGAAATTTTTCAGATAAAAGAAAAGAATACCAAAAAATTTATTTAGAAGTATAAATAACATAACTAATGAACAAAATATTGTAAATAATCTTATTATGCTGGACATGATTATGCCTAATTATTACTGATTGATATGAATGCTAAATGACAGTATACTGTTGGAAATATAATACTGATAGACCAATTAATAATACAAATATACTTCTGTAAAGCCAAATTATTATCAACTGTAATAAACAATAAAAATTAAAAGAACAATTGCTAAGATTGTAAATGTGATTCAATAGACATTTTTCAAGATAATGATTAACAAAAAATTTCAATAATTTGGCTTGTTCATAATTGAAATTTTTATCATTTGTTTTGAAATGGAGAAAGGCTCAAATATTTGTAAGACTCTAAAAACATGAGTTTGAAAAATATTCCAGAAAAAGATATAATTTATTTTTTTATTTCACCCTAATCAAGATGATAAAGTAGGGGTTACTGAGAGTTAAAGAGTCTGAAAAAAACATTATTAAGGAGAGTACAATAAAAGAACAGGATTCAAGGAGACAGAAGATGATGATTCACATTGCATTTAAATTTTTAAAGATCAAAGTTGAGTGGAAAGCAAGAAACTGGAAGAGTTGCATAAGGGAGAAGTGTGAGAGAAGAAATTGTTAGCATAGAACTTATGGCTATATCTATCAATTTCAACTGTAAAATGATGAGATCGAGCTGCCAATCTAGTACAGCACTTAAAAGCATAAAGTCGAGGTACTGAAGAGGAAATCTCATCAACATAATTACAGAAATATCAAAAACTAGCAGGCTTCACCCATTTGCTATTGCTTCACAAAGTAAAATATATTCACTACTTGAAATCTTTGAAACAAAAATTTTAAATGAACATTTCAGTCATAAGTTGGCTTTGTATATAGTAAAAGAAAGTTTTACAAATAGATGCCAACTTGTTGAAGGCCAAGTAAAATGCATTTTTCAAACATCAAAACCTCGAATAAAGGCAGTTAATTAATGAAATAAACATTTTTAAAATGAATATGCAAATTAGCTAAACATGAAGAGTGATATTACCTAGAAGTAGATAATATATAATACAAATATTGAGCTTTTTTAGTAAATACTGTGTGTAAATCCCTGCTTAAATGCCGCCCTATATTAAAATTTTAAGCTAGCTGCAATTTTGGATACAAAAGGAAAATAAGAGTTACTGCTCTCGAACCATGAAAACAATGATAATGGCTAGTATAATATATTAATATATATTTTTAACCTTGCATAATCTAGCAACCCTGAATCTGAGCTCAACAAAAATTGTTCCCTGCACCTAACTTTTCTAGGGCTTTTGAATGAGCTATGAATCACAGAATTTGGACCTGTGGGAGCAGAGGAGTTGCTTGGGCACACACATACACTGTACTTTATATATAAGATATGAAAATATTTATAGAAAAGGCACAGGGAAGCTATTTTATGGTGATGGGAAAATGACTGAAGCCGAGATGCCAGGTCAAGACTAATAATGTTGCAGATTCTTCTTTGAATTTTGTCATGAATCTCTAGATATATATGTTATAGCCCACTACAATTTCTGATTTACTCTACATGTTGGCCAGATGTGAGCACTAAGAAAATAAAGCCAAAAATAAAAAAAAGTCATCTTCTGTGCAAGCATCACATCTGGTCCACAAAACAATTCCCTGGAAAAATATAAAATGCAATGACCAATCACAAATGTTGCCACCCACCCCAAAAAGATTAGCCTTGATGCCACCAGATTTGTTTAAAAAGAAAGCCCCTCATAAACAATGCGCAGTACAAGGCTGAAATTGAAAAAATCAGTTACATACTGTCTTATTTTTAGACCAATTGTATTTCTCAAAAACTTCTTTGGCATTGTCTGTTCCTCCATCTGTAAGCAGCATAATCACTTCATTGCATTGGGCTCCAACTCCATTCTGTTTTGACATGTTCCGAAACTAGAATAAAAGGAAGATAAAGGAGTTAATATCATAATGGTAACTCAGTAAAGTTGCTGTAATAGCAAAAATATATAACAGGCATTTCATTGAGATACCCAGTTCTGCTAAGTTTTTAAATTTAGTATTGATAACTGATATCTTATTTTTAATTTTTAACTTAATTTATATTTTGACAAGCTCTGAAATCTTGAAATTGTCATTTTGATTTTGATGAAACTTTTTTACGATGACAATAACTAAAAATTGCTGAAACTGATATATAATTTTAGAGCCCTGAAATATGCACCTCTAAAAAATATTAAAATTCTACTATATGCACCTCTAAAAAATATTAAAATAAAACTAGCAAAAACACATTTTTTTAACCTATTAAACATGTAAGTTGTATTAAATACAAATAGGAATCACCAATTTAATATCATATATGTGTATATTTTGTAAATTTATATCGTAATTAAAATTTCAAATTATTTTAGCTTAAGCCATTGTAATAATTTAATTCCACTACGTATAAAGGCATTCTTAAAATGAGAAAAGTAACTTGTCATAATCTTTGACCTAAGAATGAATCTGTAATATTGCACCTTTTAATTCATCTTTGTGTCAATGTTTGGTATGATTATAGTTAGTTTTCAAGTGATGAAATAATCAGTATACTTGGGAAAAACAAAAACACTTATTTTCTGAGCAAACCACTTATCAGTTTGCAGAAATTAGATTACCATGATTATAAAAAATACAGTTATGGATATACAATCTGCAAAGAACATTTGATTATATATTAAAACTAATGTGCTCCTTGTTAAAAATTATATTCTTGTTTACAAAATTAAATAATCTTATTAAGTTATTTATAGCTGGAACTCCAATGTTTGAAAAAGATTTTTTTCCAGTGCAGGAGTTACTATTCTACTATTGTTTATGGTATTTTTGCTTTTTAAGCTTTTGTGCCATTTGTTAAAAAAATGTTTAAAAATTGTTAAAGATTGTTGGATTTTAACGATTTTTTTCACATATTAATAATGAATTAATGAAATTATTATTTCCTAGTAAAAGTTTACAATATTTTTTAAATTTTAGCATAAATTACTCAGTGTATCATCTATCCTTAAAATTGTATTTTTGGTAAAATTTATAATTCCTAGTTATAAGCCACTTTTTATTTCCTATATACCCTACTGTTGTAAACTACATTTATTTCCTTAATATGTACCACTAAATATGTAATAAAATACTTCAATGTCAGGTAAAACAGTAGATTACATGTTTTTTGCATGCTAAGAATTTATGTAAAAAACATTTCTTTTTGGAAAGTTCTTTTTTTTTTTTAAATACTATATTTCTTGCAAGAAAAACCAATTCATGGAAAAAACATGAGAAAACCTGTATATCAGAATATTTGTAAATATATCAAGGCTATCCAGAATTAATCTATTTATTAAAATTCCTTAGCAACAATAGTTTCTATAGTACATTTTGGTAATAAAATTTTCAATGTTAAAAAAATCCTATTTTATGCTTGGTCATAAAGATAAAATTATGGTGCTGAAATAATAAAATGAATCAGTCTATTTATCTTTCAATGATGGAGATATTTTATTTTATTTTATTACCAACTAAATACTTGACATAAGATGCTTGAGCCAAAACAATGCTGAAACAAGGATGACTTTTTAAAAATATTGAATAAAAAATGTCAAATTATTTCCATTGTTAAACTCCAAAAAACTGACATTATTTTATAAAGGCCCTTTGTGTTCCTTCTTAAATTAAAATGAACAGATCACATAATATTTTTACAAAAAGAAGACTATTGGGTTGTGTGACATAGAGAGAGAATGAGGAGGATTTAGTAATCAACAGTGCTAAAGAATTAGGATGAAGGTGCTAATTACTTGGGTAGAAGGGATTCCGGAGTAATTCCAGAAATAAGTTTTTTTCTCTTTATAATTGTTTCTGGGGTCTTGAGTTATTAGTTAATTACACCCTTAATTCCAAAGTTTTAAGAGACGGATTAGTTAAAAGTAAAGTTTATGATAAATGGCAAATTGGATTTTTGGGTGGTCTGAATAAAATCCTCAACCAGATGGGATAAAAGATTTTGGCAAAATTTAAGTATACGTTGTCTTAAGATCCAGCAGGAGGTCCAAATCCGATTTTAGTACCTCTTGAAAACTGGTTGCCTGCAGAGATCCGGAGATTTGGAAACACATAGTGGTCAGGCGATTTGCATAAAAAAATTTTGAATAAAGACCCTAAATGGTTTAGCTCCGCCTCAAATATATAAGCTGCCCGAACTTGAATTAATTCGGAGTTCTGAGATCAGAACATGGAAGAGGCGGCTTGTTGGAATTTTGGTCTGGTCTGTTGGTTGCCCTGTGTCAAGAAGACTGATCTGAGCCAAGAGATTGAAATAGAACCCGTAATCATCCAGATAACTTTCAACAAGGCTGCGAGAAGGCAAACTGCTATATTATTATTGCAGACGAAGATCCACGAATTACTTCCTTAGAAAAAGCCGAAAAAAAAAAAAAAAAATGAGTGAATCTCGTTAGGACATTTTGTACTGCGTGAATTCTTAAAGATATAGAACATAAAAACAGTGGCCTAAATAGGGCCCTTTGTACAAATAACAGGAGTTGCTTATTTTTTTCTTTTTTTCCATGTGTTTGATTTATGACAAGAAACTTTTTGCTGCATGAATAGTGATTTCCTTTTCAGCATAATACCCAGCCATTTCCTCTCCTTCCCACCGGATCATTCTGGAGAGAAAATCTCGATACAAATGCTGTTTTTCAAGAATTCACAATGTTGCCTTTTTATAGTGGTGGTTTGAATCAGTTCACGGAGGAAGATCGGGCTAGAATTTTTCATGCAGAACCACCGGGAGACAGGACAGAACTGCAACAGGCAAATGGTTATTAGTTGTTTATGTTCCAACACGTTAGAATAGGTCAAATTTAATGGCAGATATAATATGCTTACATTTCCGATTAGAGCACACTTCAAACTATCTCTTGAGAAAGAAAGTTTAAAATTACTTAATTTAGGTCAATTTTGCATCCTTATGAAAATGGAAGATTATAAGGTGCATTTTAGACACTTCATGCTTTTGTTTTACCATAAAGTCAAAAATCCCTCACAAGCAAAAAAAAGATATGTGTTGTGAATGGTGAAGGGGCTTTAGCTCAAATGTGTCAAACTGGTGGCCCGCACCCCACATGCAGCCCTTTACATGCATCTTGGCAGCCCTCACAAAGGTTTCTATAACTGTGGTACATCAAGAATTTTGTCTATGTTGGTAACACAAATTATTAAAATCAGTGAGATTTTTTTCAATTGGTATGATTAGATTGTTTATTCTATCTAAATGGTGTTTTGATTTTTGAATGTTAGCAACTATTTTTAACTTCTGGTTAATCATGTGAATATCCTTGACAGCTAAATAAGAACAAATGTAAAGTGAAAACGTTTGTAATTTTGTAATCGAATTCTACTCCATCTCATAAAAAGAGAAAATTATCTAAAGAAGGATGTGTGTTTCAAGAAAAGTGGAAATTACAGTACTTTTGTACCACTGTTAATGGAAACATAAACTGCTTGATTTGCAACCACTGCATTGTGATGCCAAAAGAATATAATGTGAAAAGACATTATGAAACAAACTATCAATCTTATAAATATGAAGGAGATATGCATGTTTCAAAGTGAAAGAATTCAAGGTTAAGTTAACACAGCAACAGAGTTGCTTCACAAAAATTCAGGAAGGCTATATTAGTTCTGTTACTGCAAACTTTGAACTCTGCAATGTCTTGTAAAAACAGCTGAAATTGTATGTCCAGAGAAGTCACACTTATTTCAAGACATTTCATTAAGCAGGAACACTGTTGCTGAATGGATTGATGAAATGGCAGATGATTTGAGTCAATAGTTGAAGACTATCATCAAGTTTTGAACATTTTTCTATTGCTCTGGATGAGACTGTTGACATAGCTGGAATAGCACAGCTCGCCATTTTCATCAGGACTTGTGACAATGAATTTCAAATTTATGAAGAACTAATTGAACTGGTTCTAATGCATGATACTACAACAAGCTAGAACATTTTTGAGAAAGTTGAACAACTTCTCCATGATTTGAGTAAACTTGTGTGTTTTTCTACTGATGGTGCTGCCAAAATGGTTGGGGGACATAATGGAGTTGCTGCCAAGTTAGGTACAAAAATAGAAAATATATACAGATTCAACATTCAAGCATTTTCACTGTATTAACATGTCATTAACAGAACTTATGTTCTAAGATTTTAAAATTAGATCCTGTGTTGAGTTTTATCATAAAAACAGTGAACTATATCAGAGGTCGTGCTCTGCATCACTGTTAGTTTAGTTAGTTATTGGAAGACGTGAATAATCAGCTCACAAATGTCCCATTCTACACAGAAGTTCAGTGGCTTTCATGTCACAAGGATTTTTTTATTGCGACACAAATTTTTTTGTGTTTTTGAAGATGAAGGGTCAAAGCACAGATGAATTGAAAGATGAAAGCTGGCTCCAAGATGTAGCTTTTTCAGTGGATATTACTGCCCAATTAAGTGATCTTAATTTGAAATTACAAGGTTATATGATGATATCAAGTGTTTCATTGCAAAATTAGCTTTAGTGAAGTCTCAGTTGTGCAAGGAGTTGAAAAAAACTGCCAATATTGAGTCTGTATTTATCTTTGCTAAGTACGATAATTACCTGGAATCGCTATCAAAGGAATTTCAGTGAAGATTTTGTGATTTTTCCTCTTGCAAAGATCAGTTTGCATAATTCTCAGCACCATTCATTTTTGATGTTGCTCAGGCAGAGGAAAGTCTACAGATGGAACTACTGGAAATGCAGACCGACTCAACACTCAAGGGAAAGTACCTAGAAGTGGGAGTACCCAGATTTTTTTTATACCTTCCTCAGACATTTAAGAACTTCAGAAAATTTGCCACAAAAATTATGGCAATG